GGTTGAATGGTATTTTGCATTTTATGTTGCACATTCAACACATAAGATTTCCTTTAAAGAGTAAGAAAAAACAAAAATTGAAAATTTATGTTGATTATAATATGTCACAGAAGTTAATATGTTTTTAAAATGATTTTCAAAAGGCTAAAAATGTAGTTTTTTTCTTTAATATTGGACATAATCAACAAGGTCTTAATTTAGAGATCAATGGTATTTGCAGAAAAAAAACAAACCTTCGATTTATACGATCAATGCTGCCTTTGGAGGCAATTTATGCTTCACACAAATCAGAAAACCTCCGGGAGAAAAGTAGACTTTTTCTTGTTTTGGTCTGTGGAGTTTCTGCCTCAATCTAGTAAATATAAAAAGTCTCCATCTATCTTTCCATGTCATTTATGTTCAATATTTGAGTCTTCTGTTAGGCTCCCTTTTTGTACTTAAATTTTGCTGTATGATAAATTGTCCTCTTTAAAAACTTGAAGAATTAAATAATATTTTTTGTCACTTTCTCCCAGTTAAGTGGGCCTAATTCTGATACGTAAGTGAATTAATTTCATGACCATCAAGCATTTAATAACCACAGATATACTTTATTTTTAATGACAGGTTTAAGTATACCCTTCTCTACATTTTACCCCCAGAGTACCTAGTTATATTTAGTTGATTTGAAATATCTCTCCTCAGAAGTGAGCAAGTCATGTAGTTGTGGATGTTTTAATTGGGAAAATTTGTTTCCATTGGTTTTCACATATGGGTAATATTTAAATAATCTACATTTATGATCTATTATGAACTGGATGCATGTTGCATATGAACTATTCTGTTGCATGTTTGGGGTATATTGTATCCAGAAGGAAAGCTCTAATTAAATTGAAATGAACAAGTAAGATAGATAGTGTCTGCCAGTATATGTGTATATACTTGCATTTTTGGTAGGGTTATGCAGCCTCCTACACTATCCTAACTTATGCCTGAGAAGTATAAATAATGTGAACTACTAACTGCAGTCAGTCAGTTAACAGTTACTATCAATTCCAACTACTAAGTGTCTCTTAAATTTATCAGAATTCGTTGTGTTTCACTGTGCCTCCTGGTTCATACAGAAATCACCTCTGTGCCAGATTATTGAAGCAGTCCCCTTATCTTGGCTCCCAGTCTCCAATCTTGCCCCCCTTCTAATCCATTCTTGGATACAAATTTAGATTTTTTTTCTTATATACAAATTTGATCATGTCCTTTTCCTGGTTAAAATTTTAATGGCTCACCCTCTGCATGCAACATAAGGTTCATACTTATTAGGCTTTATTGCTTTTGGTGATCTGGCCATTATGTAACTCCTTTCTTATCACTTTGTCTGCCCACTTATTTTCTACTAGAGGCCTGGTGCACAAAATTTGTGCATTGGGAGGAGGGCGGTGTCCCTCAGCCCAGCCTGCACCCTCTCTAATCTGGGACCCCTTGGGGGATGTCTGACTCCCTGTGGGATCAGGCCTAAAGCGGCAGTAGGACATCCCTCTCACAATCCGGGACTGTTGGCTCCCAACCACTCGCCTGCTGCCTGATTGCCCCTAACCGCTTCTGCCTGCCAGCCTGATCACCCCCCACTGCCCTCCCTGCAGGCCTGGTCCCCTCAACTACCCTCCCCTGCCGGCCCAGTCACCCCTAGCTACCCTCCCCTGCCAGCCTGGTCGCCCCTAACTGCCCTCCCCTGCTGGCCCAATCACCCCAAACTGCCCTCTCCTGCAGGCCTGGTCCCCCTGCTGGCCTGATTGCCCATAACTGCCCTCCGCTGCCAGCCATCTTGTGGCTGTGGGTGCTGCCATTTTTGAGGGTGGAGCAGTCAATTAGCATATTTTCTTATTGGCTATGGGTGCTGCCATCTTTGCGATGGTGTGAAGGTCAATTAGCATATTCCCTCTTTGTTAGATAGGATGCTAGTCTTGTGAACTCTGTGTACTTCTCTGAGCATGCTCTGTTCTCTCTTACCTTTGACCTTAGTACATGATGGCGAACCTATGACACGCGTGTCAGGTGATACGCGAACTCATTTTTTTGGTTGATTTTTCTTTGTTAAATGGCATTTAAATATATAAAATAAATATCAGAAATATAAGTATTTGTTTTACTATGGTTGCAGAGATCAAAAAATTTCTATATGTGACACGGCACCAGCGTTAAATTAGGGTTTTTCAAAATGCTGACATGTCGAGCTCAAAAGGTTCGCCATCACTGCCTTAGTACAAGTTATCCCCCTTTTTTTTGTACTTGCCATATCACTTCTACTTTAAATCTAGACTCCACCTCCCAACCCCAGACTCGACCATCATATCTTATACTTACTTCAGATTGTAAGGAGGGTATTTTTTTCATATTTACATGTCTGAAGTCAGGATGCTAGGTACATTTGGATGTGTAATTTCCCTAGAACATCTGCTTTTTAAAGATGTCTTAGAATCAAAGAAGTACATTATAGTACTTTATTATTTTGCTTGCTAATTTATTTTCCCCTCTGGACTTTAAGTTCTGTAAGGAGGAAGTTAATAATCTCTACTAGTTTATTCCCACCTGATACATGGTAAGATTTTCAATAACTAGTTAGTGAATAAAGGACAGATCCTAAGCTGGATAACTTACTGACTTACCACTTGACAACCCTAATTGCAACTCTTTTGTTTTTCTATATTAAGTGTTTCTCGAGAAACCCTCAAGAGCAGGAAGAAATCAGATTACAGTCTAAATAAAGTAAATGCACCCATCTTAACGAATACAACACTAAATGTAATAAGACTTGTTGGTAAGTAGCTACACCTTTTTAAAGAAAATTATTATAGCAGTTACATTAGCCTGCTTTTGTTACCAAATGATTTTTACTTGCCTTTTTAAACGTTTGAATTGTTTACATATTTATTTTATATTGTTGACAGTATTATAGATGTCTCTCATTTTCACCCTCTGTTCCTCTCCACCCAGTCCCTGCCCCACCCCAGGCCTTCACCACACTGTCTGTGTCCATGGGCTATGCATATTTTCGTGTCCACTGCAGTGAAGGATTTATGATGATCATATGTCAATGTTTTCTTAATTGTTCCAAATAGTATAAATTAATATTATTGTTAGTTTTTCTTGTTTCAGTTAGCTACTTAGTATTTGTGTCTCCACATTTTCTAAAATACCTCAATTAATTGAAATGTAATGAAAAATTCTCTATGTGAGGTAGAGGTACATGTAGGAGGATGATAGTTTCAGTTTTACATTAATACAATATTTTTTACTTAATTGTTCCATTGTTCTTCACCATCTTCCAGTCAGATAGGCAGAGTGAAATGTGATTCTTTGGCATTTTCAGACACAGTGTTCTATAAGCTAAATATTCTCACCATAGGAAGTGTAGTCCTGATTACAGATAACACCGTTATTGATAATTGTGTATAAAGAAATGCTATATTTAAAATATTTGTTTTTGAAGATGATGTGAATTTTTTAAATGTCAGTATTTAAACATTTTATATGCTATTTCACCCTTCAGATTTCACAAATTGGTCTGCAATTTGACAAATAAGTTATAGAGATGTCTTCTCAAATTAAGTCATCTATACTAGTGAGGAATTTCAGTGGTTTTCTATAAAATTCATTGTATTCTTTTTATGGAGTTGAAAACTTCCTATTGCCTAGTTTGATTATACTTAGCACTGCTAAAATGGTCTGTATTCTTGAAGATAATTTCTACATTTCATTAATGAGTAGGATCAAGTAGACAGAATGGTTTTTAGAAGTCCCACTTCCTTTAGGGAAAATAGTTGAAAAGTAATAATGAATTGAGAGGAAAAGAAAAGGTATATATTTTCATGACAAAGAAAAATGACAGATTCTAAAAAGCTGTTTTATGGATGATTATTGCCAGGGAAATTAGCTTTTCTTCTTTATCAAAGAGAGCTAACCAAATATAGAGTCATGAGTTACTCTCTAGGATAAATGGAATCAGAATTGGATGGGTTCTGAGAGGTTGTCTATTATGAATTCCCATAAAATAAGGATTTCTTTCTATAATGCCTCTAATATGTAGTGGCCATCTAGCCTTGGTTATATGTCTCACAGTCACTGGAAACCTATCATTTTGCAAGACTACTCATTCTACTACTGGTTTAATTCATCGAAATCTCTTCCTTAGGATAAAACCAAAATATCTCTCTTGTAATTTTGTTTTCTTAGTTCTGTCTCTAAAAGCAAAAAGAGTAAGTCTATATTTTTTCTCCTACTTTTCCATGTGGTCACTTTTCACATGTGTGGTGGTAGTTATACTGTTCTTTCCTTTTTTTATGCCCTCCTCTCCAGTCCATTCTTCAGGATCAATGTGCTCAATTCCCTTACATGGTCTGTGCTGATACAGATATTCCAAAATTCTTGTCATCCTCCTGAGCCTCCTGGACTCACTAGTTTTCAGTGTGTGAACACACTGCTTGAGATGCAGTTTAATGAAGGCAGCTTTTGCTTAGTTATGTTGAAGTAACTAACCATCCTAACACCAGTGGATTTCAACCAAAAGGTTTAAGGTGGCTCCTAAACATCTTAGTTCTGCTCCTTGTGTGTCTTCGTTCTGAGATGTGGGCTGAGAGAATAACACCAATCTGAAATGGAGAGAAGAGCAAGAGCTGAACCATTTTATGGGGGAAATAATATAATCAAATACATTTAAGTGGTTGTTTATATATATTTTTTTAACTTACCTAGTTCAAAATGACTATGGGACGTCATGTTTTTTACTATAAAAGACATATTCAGTAGAGTCAAATAAAATATAAGGCTAAAACAAAATTGAGGAGGGGAAAAGTCATGTTTCATTTAGTGAAATGCAAACAACCGCAAATCCTCAGTTCTTGGTAGGTGTACGGAAATGAAGAAGGAGCACATTCTGCTATTCTCGTCATCTAAGAAAAGGATAACGTGATGATAGAAATGTGCTGCGGGGATTAAATTTAGAAGGCAGTCACGACCAGTATGGATCGTGATTGGTATGGGCCTTTGGTATGTCAGCCCTGAAGAACAGAGCAATCCTGAATAAAACTTGACTCGTGAACTGAGAATCTGACCATTGCAATTCCAGCCTTCTCCACCACCAGAACTTTTACTGGAGTTGCAATTAGAAAATGCCTTGTATGGTCATTTAACTTTCATGTCTTCCCATTAGGGCTGCCACTAGGTGCTGCCATTATTTCCCTAGTAGATTTTTATGTCTGCTGTTTTCTCTGTCCCTGGGATGTCTTTATCTCAGCTTGTACATATTCATAAAACAGAATTTTAAGGGAACCACTCACTAAGGGGTCTCTGACTAATAAATGCACTATTCTACCCCCTGTAGTTATTGCACAAGGTGCTTAAAGATTATAAACTGGCAAAGGTAATATCTCTTTACAGAGTCAGAAGTACAGTTGTGTAAATAAGATAGATTAATTTTTGGTGCTGGGAAGATGAAAGAACTAATTATAGTTGGGAGACACATTTTGAACATTAAAGGCATATTCAAAATGTCCTTTTCAATGAGTATTTATTTGGCAGATAATTAAGAGAGATTAAACAAAAGAGTGTTAATGGGGCTTCCCAGCCCCAGGTGGTACCTAATTCTGTTAGAAAAGCTCAGGGAGTGTTTCCCAAGTACGGAGGACAATTCCAAAAGCCTGACAGTTTCTTGCTGACAGAAGCTGAGCAATTTTAGGGAATCTGGCATCTCTGAAATAGCCGTGGTAGTCAAGGTCTGTGTCCTGGAGGCAGCTCTCATCGGACCAGGGACAATAGGACTGAGTGGCAGGAGATAGGTTGCCAAAATCCATGCTTGTATAAACTACATACCTTACAACAAAATTATTACTTTAGCAGCTGGGAAAAATACACACCAGCACACGCACCAGGATTTAACCAGAATGTGTACATCTGCAGAATTTTGAGGCATAGTGTGGCCGAAGTGTGTGTGTATGGTGGAGAGGACACGGAAAGAGGAGATCCATCACCTTCATTAGCACAGTCTTTTAGGTGGGGCATTAGTTTTAGTTATTTTCTCACGGTAATGCATGAAAATATTTAAAAATGAAAATACTTCAGGATACAGAGTCCCTGACCCCCATGTCTTCTTCCTCAGAGAACACTACTCAGTTCTCCCGTTTTCCTTGGGGAATATTAATATGCATTTACAAGTCTATTTAATATGCGAGTCACCTTTCCTTTTGTTGTTGTTTCAAAAATTGGATCACACTATATATAGTGTTCTTCATCTGGCTTTTTGAACTTCAACTCTTTTAAGGTTACAGTTAAAATATCTTAAGATATTGCATGTCATAGTATGCATAGAGCCCATTCTTTTTTATGATCCTATTGTATAGATGTACCATTGATAAGACCTTTATTTTTTAACATTTGTTTCAAGTCATTTGATGCTACAAACAATGCTCATCACAGAAAATATCCTTGAAATATCTTTGTTCAGATACAGCTGTAGGACAAATTCCTACAAATGTTTCCTCATGCTAGATCATAGAGTTTTTTTTTTTTATTGCCTACAGTTTATTTTTAAATCAAACAAAAAGTCAACATACACAGCACACTCGTACCCACATTTCCTCCAACCACTGCCTCATCTCTGCTGCCATTTACAACTAAGCTCCTCAAAGATGTAACTGTACAGTCCTCGGGTTACGTCAGACTCGACGTATGTCATTTCATGGTTACGTCACCATCTCCCATTTATTTATAAAAAAAAAAATTCCGTCATTTTGACGTATGTACATATGTGCTTTTTGTTTTTTATTATTTATTTACCACAAGTAAAGGTCAGGAATTGTTATCTTTCTTTTAAAATTTTTACTGTTTCACTTCATTACTGTTGTGTATGTGCTCCATGGGAGTGACATAGGTTCTTATGTAGGTGGGTTCCAACTTACGGTGAAAATCGCCTTACGTCGCACCATAAGAACAGAATTCCCACATAACCCGAGGACATACTTTACTCACTCCTCTTCCACATGATCATAGAGTTTATACATTTTCAGTTTTGATGCACATTTTCAATTTACCAAAGAAGTTACTAAAGAACTTACTGCAGAGGTTCTGTTAGTTTATCCAACAGTATAGGAGAGTATCTTCTCTCAGTCTCTCAGCAGTACTGTGTGTCATCCAACTTCAGGTGCTCGCCAGTCTGATGGGAAAAATGACATCTCATTCGAAATGTATTTAATTTGAGTGAGTTTAATCATCTTTTAATATGCTTAAAAAGGTATTTCTCTTTGTGAACTACTTATTCATATTAATTGCCCGTTTTTAAATAAGGATATTTTTATGGTTTAATGTCTATATTAAGGAAATTAGTCTTTTTCTGCCATGTGTATTGATTCACTCATTTTCAATCCAGTAGATTTTCTTTTGAGCTACTATTTTGTTTCAGGCACTCTGCTGGCTGTTGGGAATATAGTCATGCACAGGACATATTCTGTGTAGTTAAAAAGCCCTACATGGGAAATAACATACAAAATAAAAGGGCCGACTCACTGGACAGCTCACACACTGCCTGGCTTTGAAAGATGAATAGATTCTATTGCCTGTTAAAGGCATTCTAGACAGAGTGAAAAGAATAACATGTGCAGCACATGGTGTAGTCACATAATACAGGTTAGCTTTCCGCATATGAGAAGATGATGGGAAGTGGGGGACAGAAGCAGGGGAGATGTGGCAAGAAAGGTAGACAAGAACTGGATTTCTGATTGCATTCTATAATGTCCCATTAAGCTTATGTAATGTTCTCTGGACCTG